GTTCCGGTTGTAGAAGTAATATTAACATATGTCAGCAAAGTCATTTCACTGTCTTCAAAAATTCCGTTTTTGTTAGAATCAATCCAAACTTTTACCTTATCATTAGCGTTACCACTTGCTACGGTAATAGTCATCGGATAAGACCCGCCAGCTTCTACTTTTCCAATTACGGTGGTGAAATCCTCATATCCTCCTGTAACTGTCGTCGCAGCACTCGCATTGCTGATATTAGCAAATGTAAGATTAGAGATTCTATCAGCATTCACAGTGGTGTGTGTCGCCGCACAATACACAATACCGCCGGTTGTGAATGAAATTTCAGCGCATCCTGTCGCAGTTCCCAAAATATTATAAGGTACTACCTTTACAAAATATTGGGTGTTTGCAGCTAAAATAGGGTTATAGCTATTTGTCGTAACGTCAACACCGTTTGCAACATCAGTACCGCCCGAAGTTGTTCCCATGTATACTTTATAACCACTTGCGTTTGAAGCAGCTGCCCACGTAATTGATGCAGGATTAGGCAATACATCTGTAGCCCCATCTGTCGGCAATGTGAAAGTAGTACAAAGAGGTAATGTCATTGCTTTTACATTAACAATGTAATCTTCAGCTTGTCCATAAGTGACGGCAGCACAGCCAGTTACAACAGCCGCATTATACTGCTTTATAACTCTCATCCTTGTTTCTCCCAATAACGCATCAGCGGGAGCGGCAATTTTACCAGTAGCCATTTTTCCGTCCGTACCAGTCGAGGTATTAATACTTATTCTTGCATTAGCCGTTGGAGAACCTGTGAAGTATTGTTCATTTGCTTGATCAAATGTTCCATCCTGATTCCAATCTACAAATACAGTAAAATAATTTGTATAGGCTCCGTTAGTATTACCCTGTATTGAAATTGGCAATGATTCGCCTTGCTCTATGCCTGCTTTTTTGCTTAAAAAGAATTCGTGACCGACCGAACCGTTAAGAACGGCACTTGTTGTATTATTGATTCCGCCAAAGGTAACATTTGTGATAGGTTCAACATCATTTGTCACTGCTACAGGAACCGATGAACAATATGGTGCTGCCGGGTTAATACCTGTAGTGAAGTTAGTTTCCGCACATGTTAATGTTTCGCCATTAGCATTCACTGCTGTAACTCTTGCATAATATTTTGTATTAGCAGCTAGTGTGGAAGTTAAAGTGTATTGCGAGTTAGAAACC